CCATCATTCACTGCCTTTTTTAAATCTGGATTGAGCATTTTTCCAATTTGGTCCAAAGGAGATCTGCAGTTTCTCTCTGAGAATCCTTTTTGGTAAGAAAGAATACTCATCACGCACATAATGAATATCTAGGTTGATTACTCGCGCAACCATTTGGCCTCCAGATAGAAAAAGTAGAAATAAATTTCCCATGCACTGGTAGCCCGTGCAATCAGCAGAGCCTAGCCCCACTTGATGAAATGCATTCCGAAAAGGCCACCTCTTCACATTTGTAAAAGTCACCTTCCATTATCTTCCACTTGTGAGAGTCGGGTCTTCTTGGAGCTCTGCAATATTATCTTTCACAAGTGTGGCAGGACCAGCGTGACATTTGTAAACAGTCACTTTGCTTTCTTTTCCCTCACTGCAATGTCTTGAAGTCCAATCAGATGCCCGTCTCCTCTGGTCTCCTGATGGCTGGGGCGGGAACCACCAAGACTTTCTAAAATAAGCCTCCCAGAGCGGCGTTCATCTTTCTGGCTGAATGCCATAGTGCCACCACTCTGTTGTTCCACAGATGAGCTACCCCATGAAATTGCGTGCTTCATGCCACTGTGCCAAATGTGACAAGATTTAGTTGGAAAACAGAAGGCTGTTAACAGAGTAGCGTGACTGGTGTGTGTTTGATCCCCAGTAAAGTGAGTTGGTGAGATATAATGAGTAACTGGCACAAAGAACAAGTGTTGTAAAAGACAATTATATGCCATACTGGAAGATTTGCATACCACTGTGATGAAATGATCAAGAGTTTATTTCATTTTTGTTTGATATCTAGTATAATTCTATTCAAACTGAACTTGTTTCTGTGGGCATTTTCTATTTGTAGTAATATTTAATAGATTACTAAACCCATATTTATTTCTGACAAGGCTCCTCTATTTACTATGAAGGAAACTTTTCCAAACCAGAAAAATGTAAATTACTTTACACCCCATGAAATTAGCGACAAATAAGCCATTTCGACATGTTTTAGTCATGCCTCACTTACAAGCGGTTGGATTGCCTTTTTGCAGTTAATTGGGTCATCAGAAGAATCCAAGAATCTAGAAACTGGTTTTCAGCAGACCTAAAATGGTACTGCTTTAAAAGCCTGGGCTTAGGAACACTTTTAGAAACCATTGTCTGCAAACAATCTCAGAATCTTTTTGGGCCAAAGCTCATTGAAAAATGGACTGAGGCAAAGTAGAAATATGTGGTCCGACAAATTAAAATTTGAAATTACTTTTGAAAATCATAGATGTTGTGTCCGACACACAAAGACACCATTCAGCTTGTTCTTAGTGCTCAGTTCAAGAGCCTTGGGCCAAATCATGAATTACAAAATATGACAGAGGATTCTGGACTGTTGAGCTGGAATACTATATCAGACAGGAATGAGAAAACATTCCTCTCCAGGCCTGTGGCTGTTCGATCCAGACCGGTCTTCTTTGTTCCCAAATATACACCGGCTGACTGTTGACCAAAGAAAATGAATGTTACATACTCCTAGACATGTTTTTTTTTACTTGTTGCTGCTATCAAATTCAAGTTGAGCCTCTGGGAATCCACTGGGAGCTTCTTCTGGTCTGGGTGATTGCGTCCATCTCTTGATGGGGTTCTCTGGTGTTGACCCTGCTGTGTATGTCCAGCCATGCATGGGCTGGGCATGCTTCAGTCCCTTTTCTGCACCTATCTTTGAGACCTTTTGAATCCCTCAGCTAACTATCCCACCCTAAAGTGTCATGGCTGGTAGTCCTGCTGTAATTGTGATTATCTATGGTTATTATCGCAATGCTAATTATGAATATAAAGAGCACCAAAATTGCTGTCAATATAATTCGTATTGCTTTTTTTCTGAATAGAATAGCTCAATAGCTAATTCTGAATAAACTATCATTGTTATCATCACCACTATTGTTGATAGTAGACACCACCAAAAGCATTTTGAACTGACAATATGTCTTCATTATCAAAACTGTTGCCATCAATATTGTTTTCATACATGTTTTCTTTCTATTGCATATACAGTCACATTTTTGGCAAAAGAAAGAAAAAGTCAGCAAACAAGAAAGTCAAGATAAATTCAAACTTTTAATTGAATCATTTCACCGTCAAAACTTTCCACACGATATGTTTGCTAGGTCCTGCTTTAATAGAAGTCCTTTAAAAGTAACATCATAGTTTTCATTTCACATTTACATTTGCAAAGGTATTTGCACTATGAATATTCAAACTGTTACCACCAAGGAAATAAAGTCATTATGAATTATGTAAGCGAAATTAGGTTCTAATCTCACAGCTCTTTAGTGAAGGAACTCAAGTCCCCTGGAAACAAGAGGGAGTGATGACACAACTTTGTTAAGGCCCGAACACACTCCACCAAGTGCAGTCATAAAGTATAATTGCCAGAAACTCGTATCTCGTAATCTTGTGTTTTTTTGTGGTCATGTTGTGTGTGGTGATTTTAAAGGGACTGTAGCTGCTAAACTGCATCCACTGGGACAGCTGCTTGGGAAGGAAATGGAGTTCTGCTTCTGTGGAAAACTCTGCTGGCAACAGTTAATGTAGCATGAAGAATCAGAGAGACGCTCTGTGAGCCGTCATTCATTTTCATTGTCGCTGAGTGGGATTGCCAACGGAGATATCAATCAGTCTGCAGATACTCATACTGAAGCTGTCATGTGCCACCCTGCCTGAATGAGCTGTGACAGACAAAGATGAATGAGTCATCCTGAGGTTGGGAATTTTCCTTAACTAGAAAATAATTAGCTGAATGCACTTTAAGCAAATGTTCCTCTTCGCTAGAGCTTTTTTTTTGTTGAAATATGGAGTGGAAGGCTTCTTGTTTGGTAGCTCAGTTATACATGACTCTTGAACAGAACACGCTGCTATCATGCAGGCCGGCCATCTACAGAAGTAGGTCATTGTGTGGCAGTGAAACATCTCGACCAATCACTGGCTTGCAAAAAGAAGAAAAGTTGCTCTCACTGGAGGCCTGTCTTAGATGGAGCAGCATCAGGTGTTTTATGTTGAGTTATAAATAGTACATGGCAACTCCCTAAGCTGCAGATCTGCACCACTCTCTTTGTCATTAGGCCCAATCGGACAGGTAATGTTTTATCCAGAGGTGGTCAGCCTCACCGCTGATGGATAGAAATGGATTAGACTATTTTGAAAAGTAGAGGCATTATAAAGAAGCCTTGTGGACACATACATGGAATTCTATCTTCCGGCTGATGCCGTATGTCAGATCTTGTGTTCTCAACACACCACAAAAGACACAAAACATGTTAAACTTAATTATTTTCTTTTATGTTTGATTCTCTCACTATGCGCTGTAGCATCTATATCAAATGAAGATAATCTCAATATTACATCAGGTGGCATCTCATTATTTGAGTGTGATAAGCCAAAAGTAAGACAGTGGATTTAAAAAGGCATTGTTTCCATAGGAAAAAAATAAGGAAAGTAGCATCCCAAAATATTTGGTCTTAATTGCAGGCACTAAAAACAGACCTTCGATGCCTTTGTATACTAAACCAAGACAACAGAATGAAAAAAAGCACTTCAGTGATAATCCACTGAATACTTTTTGACATATTTTACTCTTTTTCCTTGTTCCTAAAATGCCTTCGGCCACAAAATACCATCATCATGGACTGACGTAGCGTAATCTTGTAGGGTAATGCAGTAGGGTAACGAAATCCCAAAAGGGCAGGGGGGAGATCAAGGTTATGAACGGATAGAACACAGCAAGCTTATATATGATAAACATCACTGGATGGGGGGTGAAAGTGGAGGTTATCTGGACTGAATGGGTTCTGCGATATGGGCTGGTCCTAATCTATGATGCGCGTTGCCGCTTTAATCACTTGATAGACACCTGACGTGCCCCTGCTCTCTCTGCTGACTGAGATTTGAGATTTGGTATCAACGGGCCACACTACCAGGCCGTACATCTTGTATTACAGAGGGAATTTACACAAGCCTGACAAACAAACCCAGCTGCTTTTTAGACTTTTTTCTTCTTGCTTTTTTGTCTTAAAACGTGAGCTCACAATTTCATTGTGTATTCCAAAGACAAATAACTACTATCATATCTTATATTGTAAGCATTCTCATTTAAACTCAGTGAATAATCATTCAATCAATTCCAACAGATATTTATTTAAGTATTCATAGACAAATGACACAATGTTCAAGGTATATTAGCTCTGAAGCTGTGAGATGAATATTGATGTTTCCATCAATGTTTATCTTTGTCCTGCAGCTGTGAGAGGGATTCTTAAGGCTGTGCACGTCGTATTCATTTAGATAATTGATGCAATATGATTTGTCAGAGAGACGTAGGTAGCTGTAACTCTCAATACTGAGCTCATCAGTGTAAGTCATAACAAATGGGGACACAAGAGTTCCTGGGAAAAAGCAAAACATTTCATAACTACTTTATGTTGTTGATGAAAGAGAGCTGCATATTCTAAGGAGCATCAATCCTCAAATGTGTGTCACAGCCTGAATCTTTTATATCTATAGGCTGCCTCCTCTCTTACAGGAATGCTCACGCTGCTATCTGTTTTCTGTGTCACTCTTCATAACTTCCTTGCTTTTTCACCCTGTTTCCCTTTTCAATTTCAAATGACACTGATGTCCTTGGGCTGCTCTTCGTCATCTTGTTACATCAGGGCTCTAAAGAGTGGGAAAATTTAGGGGAACCCGTATAGCTGCTTTTGACACATTTATTAAGATGTTGCAAGTATCTAGTACAAATCCCTATAAATAGTGCGTTGGGTTCTTGTCAGAAATACTAAATTGTGAGAGATTCTTTATCTTGGTAAGGACTTTTAATTGTGAGCATATTTCTTTAAACCCAGTACTCTGCATGAAACAAAAAAAAAAAGAAAATGACCATCTTGCGGATTATAGTTAGGATTATTTCTGTTTGGAAAAATGTATGTAAAAAATAGGTTGATAACAGATTACAGACATAATTTACAAACATTGAGAGAAGTGTTGTCAGTATCAAGACGTCTAAAGCTCAGTACTCAGATTAGCATGACACACACGGTGAACCCTTTGCCCCGCAATGAATGTTGACAACATAAGCCGAGCTAGATGTTGCTGTAATCTTTGACGAAAGACCACATTTTGCTAAAATTAATACCAGGTCACAAGGGTCAGCAGGAGATATATTTCTGGGTTTTGGATAACTACTGACATATTTGTTTCACAGGATAAGTGAAAAATAATTCCACTAAAGTGATGATGTGTTGGTTCTTTATTCAAGAGCAGATGTTTGAGTCCAGCTGTGCGCCAGTACACTTCTGAGCAACGATTTATTTTTACATTTGAAAAATGTATCCTCCAACACAAGTCTGCATGTTTGACTGAAATGGAATTATTGTCATATACATTGATTGAATGTGTTCACAGAGCATAGGCACAAAGAATCCTAAGCTGTATAGCAGAGTGCTGAAATATAAAATGTTACCAAAAATAACTATCAGTGTTTGAGATTTACAGAGCTTCTATTTTTTCATGGAGAAGGAAAACAAGTCTTTAAGTCTTAAATTTGCATCATTTCTTGGTTTGGGAATATAAAGCTAACAATTCAATTAAATTTTAATTTAATTAAAATCAAATGATATACAAAGAGTTTTGGATTTGCCAAATATTGAAAGGATTCTATTTTTGACCATCTAAAATCTTACATTGTATAAACAACATAACAATATATCCTAATATAATTTAAGACTGCAAATGCTGGAGATGACCTGCTTCTATTGTACAGGACTGGTATTCAGATTTTTTTTTTTTTTATTAAAGTATTCTTTTGTTGCTGGAACAGTATACCAGCTAAATATGAAAGCAGCTTTGGTCAGCGCCGAAAGAGTGAACCAAAAGAGTTGTTTATGGTAAATATAAAACCAAATGAACAAACAGAGGAGGGAGCCGTATCAAAATGAAGATATCAGCAGAGTCGGCTCAATACTCTCTGGGTTTGTTACTGTGCATAAAAGCCGTCGCATTACATTTAACAACTTGATTCAGTGGTGCAGCTTGAAACAACATATGTGATGTTTTTAAATCCTGACCTAACAGGATCAACAGCAGGACTGGGCAGCACTCAAAAAAGTTCCCTTCAGCCTTATATTTCATCAGATCCTGTGTTCTTTGTTCTTTTTTTGAGGGGAAACAGACAGACAGATAGTGGCTGAGAAACTCTCCCAGGGACTCAAGCTCTGTGAGTCTCATTAGGCCAAACTGGCAGCTCAATTTGAAAGGAAAGAGGGCCATGTATCCAGCCTCCCATGGCAGAACCCTTCCCATCGCTCACAGGAGCTCTCATTACTCCACTTCCCTGCCCCTCCATCCTCCAGACACTCTTGTAAAGACAGCCAGCTCCATCCATCACATCTATTGATCATATCTCCCTCTGGTGTGGTACCTGTCTGTTTTTTTGAGACTAAGTGGGAGGGATGGCAGAGATGGCATGATTTTTTAGCCTCCCAGTGACAGCATTGTCTCCTTGGGATGCACAAGGTGAACCAGTGGACTGAGCTTCCACCCTCGCTCTAAATGAAAGAACACTCCCTGGAGGAAGTACTAAAAATATGTTTTTCCTGCCTGGACACTGAAGTGATGATCCAGTTGTTACTTCGTTGGTTTTTTTCGTTTTTACTTCACCGGTAACACATGATACTTCAAGATGGTTTAGCAGCACATAAGAATTTAAACAAAACGCTGATGTTCCACAACGCTCCATTAATACTATAAGTCTGTGAAAAGAGATTTGATTGTGTGCCACACAGAATTTCTTTTTTACTTTGATCTTGTTACTCTGGTGGTTTACTGGGCAGAGAAGCAAGCTTAAGCTTTTAAAGCGATTGGCCGGAGCAGTCCAACATGAGCACATGTCAGGCATCTTACTGCAGTCTCACTCACTGTAGAGAGTGTTTGCCTTTTTTTCACAAAATTCCTCCAAAAGCATAATTCTCCTCATGATCACCAGGGAAAAGCTTTGAAGAGTTTTTTTTTTTTATCCGGATAACAGAATTTGATAATCACCCTTATTATTTTTTAAATGACTCACTTCTGGTCACTTTGGTCGTTTGATTTGTCTATTCTTCTAATCAAGTGAAACCCAAAAGAAGAAAAGTTTATCCCAGACAGGGTATTACTCTGGGGAAGAACTAGAATAAATGCTGTCTATTCTATAGTAACAAAAGTTCTTAGATTGGCAGACTGTGGGGATGCTGCACTTTATTCTTTCTTCATGATGACAGGCAATTTTTCCAACAATTGTTGTCATTACGCAACGTCCAGCAGTTTCTGAAGGCTGCAGGGTTACATTCCAAAAAAATCATTTCAAGTATGTATGATTTTTGCACCGCTTTAATAGGGTATGAAGTTTAGTTCTTCTACCTTTGGTTAGGAATGCCAAACTAAAGAAGTCAGTGTTGCACCTCCATTTTAGTTCTCTCAAATTATTAGATTTTGTTAGAAATGCTCTCACTTTTTCATGTGCAATTTATCGAAGGTCAGATCTTTCATGAACATATTAAATGCATGGTCAAAAAAACATATAAATGAAACTCTGATTGCATTTAAGTAAGTATATTTAAATTCCAAACATCAGAAATAGCAGAAATAGTAACAGAATAAGGTAACAGAAATAGGTTTGTTTTGTTTCGCAATCAATCATTTCTTTTTTTAATTGGTTGTTGATTTTTTTTTAACAGATGACAGTAGGAGAATAGGTTTAAATGAGTTCCTGAATCCACGGGTAACAAAGGCCACTTTGCTGTCAGTGGTTTTATTGTCCGGTTTTCATTGGCACAAAGAAACACCTCTCAGGAGAATTAACTTCTCCAACTCAGTGACCAGAACTGACAAGCAGTCACTTGCAAGTAAAAAAGAAAGGAAGAAAGTGTCAGTTTCAGGGGAAGTTGCAGACATCTCTGAGGATTTGAAAGGCATGAACACACAAAAATCTCAATTTGCATTAATAAGCGGTGTTTGTGTCACTGGCTGAAGCACGGCAAGAAAGATATTTCCAACACCATCTATGATTCTACCACGGTTCAGAGAGTTTGTACATGTAGCTGTCAGACAACATCACAATCCACAAGGGATGCCTGGGAACGAGTCAGATCCATGAACCAAATCTGCTAATCGAGACACATTTTTTAAATCGTTCATTCACGTTCAATCACAAATTATTCCTCTTGAAAAACAGCCATATCTGGCTTATTGTTTTTTGCTGCTGAATTCTTTTTTTTTCCATCTGTCTTTCTCTAAAAACACATACACCTCCTGTTGAAAGCAGACAGCCCGGCTCATGTGAGGCTGAAATCTGAGAATGAAATTAAACAAAATCCTGTAATGGTATGTTATGGTAACATAATCAACAGTTTTTTTGCCCAAAAAATTATCCCTGTCCAAACAGAAATAGAAAAGGGCTGATGGAAAAACTGTGAATTTGTTTAGTTGTTTAGTTTTTGTTGTTGTTTAGTTTTTAATATTCAATTCAGCAGGAAGTGCAACAGTGAGCCAAATTACAGGCAGTTCATGACAGATAAAAAATAATTCAATAACTTGTGGAATCAGTAATCATTATTTGGACTGAACACTCATTGTAGTGGAACTCACTCTTCTTTAAAACATTACTTGAGACCAATGAGCTTTGCAGGCATGCGTTTATGCATGGCTGTCTTAAGATCCCACCAAATCATTTCAGTCAGGTTAAGGCTTTAACTGTTTCACAGAAGGCCACAGCACAGCCCTCCACCACCATGCTTGACAGATGATATGAGGGGTTTATATTTGCAGTACTTGTTTTTCTCCAGATACGGGGCTGTACATTATGACCAAACATCTCCACTTCAATCTCCTCTGTCCAAATGACTTAGTTTCAGATGTCTTGTGGTTGAGTTCAGATGCAACGTTTCCCAGCATAAGCCATGTTGCCATTCATCTCAGAGCGAATGGGCTTTCCCTGCAGCCCTGACAAACAAATCACAATTGTTCACCAATTTCCCTTGACAGTTGTATTGTAATGAATTCTAACATTTAACATGCAAACTGAGGTCTATAGAGTGAGATGAACGTCTTGAATTTTTCTTGCAGTTTCTCTGATTTGTGATCGATTTCAACTTGATGGGATGTCCACTCTTGTAAAAATGGTAATTTCTCTTGAATGTATTTCCCAGGTCCCTATTTGACTATTGCTTCTCTCGGGTTATTTTTGATGTCTTAATACATGACCAAGGCTACTGACCCGCAAACCTTCAAGACTTCATCTTTTATAGGGGTGTTCCCACTTGCTGATGATCATATTATCCAGTGCATTTTATCTGCTCTACTTGGCTGCTACTTACTTTCTTAATTCCATCAGAAACTGAGAGGTCAGAATTAGTTTTTCACAACACTTTCTCTGTATTTTAGCAAAATTTCTGTTTCATGAATAATGACATGGTAATATTTAATTCATTTTGTTGTTTATCTTTGGTTGCAAAGAACCTGATTATAAAGTCTGGTTAGATTTGGATGATTTATGACATTTGAAAAAAAATTAAGTTCTGATGCATAAAAACATTGACAGAAGCTGTTCTTCTATGTCATGTAACTGGGAAAACAGTCTATGGCATCATAGCAGTGATACAGGATCTCAAACCACGTGGTGCTTCATCTTACATTAAGACACATCTCGGCCTGCTATATGTGACTGCTGAAAACCATCTGCGTTTTCTTTGTGGTCATCTTATGAGCAGAGCTGCCACGCAGAGCACAGTATGGTGCAAGTCAATTATGTAAATCATGATGTGGGGGGAGGTGTTTGGCAGGAAGATGTGTTTGTGGCACCCTCTGTCTATCCTCTGCCTGAAGCTGATAGATGTAGAGACTTCTGGCCCCACAAGTCTTTGCAACCTGGGAGTAATGTGACAAAGGCTTACTGTGCTGGTAGAGGAAAAAAAACTGTTGTAAAAAAAAAAAAACTGTTTACAGCCCAGAAAAAACACAGAGCAGGATAAACTGGAGTAGAAAGGCTGTTCCATTTTACCCCATCATGTCCTCAGTGATGCTGCCCAATTAGCCACACTGCTACTGCTGAACATAACAATAGAAAAGAAATGTATACCCTAAAGACCTAACTAAAGGACCTTTATTACCGTATTGATATTTCCTACATGTCACCACTGCCCTCCCCTGCCTGGCAGACTGCCCGCACTTATTCTGAGGAAAATCTCCACAGGGGCAGTAACTCAATACAAGAAGAAAACAGCAGGACAAACATTAGGCTGAACATTACACGCTGTAATTAGTGAGATGCTGGTTGCAATAAATATGAAAGATGGTGTAGAAAGTTCAAGCTGCACAGTAAATAGAGAAACATGTAAAAAATCCAAATATATCTCTGGTCAGATGAGACCCAGAAAAGTACATTCTGAAATAAAATATTTAAATTTGATCAGTGGCAAGCTGTGGACATACAACAGCGAAGAAAGTACAAAGAAAACAAAAGCTAGAAATACTGTACTTTATGTGCCCACTGATAGTTTATGCTATAGTATTCACAATTAAAATTTTGTGACACATGAATGTTACACTGCTTTAAAAGAGTAAAGACAATATTAAATAAGACATGTTCAAAGAAAGGGAAAAATCTTTAAGTTAGCTCACATTTTGAAGCACCTCAAGTTAGTTATTTCATAAGAAAAATGACAAGAATTAAATGGAGTTGCACAATCGAGACATAAAACTTAAGCATACGTTTTAAGTTAATATACAAAATGTGTAGATTGTAGAGTTCATTAATCCCCTCTCAAAGTCGTTGAACAAAATAAATCTTGCTTCATACCTGATTTTTGTTGTTACATATGTCCAAAAAGCTGGTTTGCAAATGGCAATACAATTGCCCAGGATTATCAAATAGAAACTGATAAAAGAAGGATCCCATAATTGCTCAGCAAGACACGGCATTAAAGCCATCGTTAACCAAAAGAACTCGTCACCTGGTAAGAATGGAGAACCCTCTATTAACTGATGTCTCATATTGCATTCATAATTCAATCATTCCTGTTTTTTGTGTTTTTTCTTTTTGGTAGAAGGATGAAATGTCACAAATATTTTCTAAGGCTTTACAGTGGAAACCCTGTGGAATATAATACCATAGCGGCTGGTGTTGAAAAGTTTTGAGTGAGGCTATACAGTAAATGGATATGAGGTCACTTTTACTGCAACGTCGAGGTCAAGCTCGCACAGAGCCACATCTGTGAGAGCTCTCAGAACAAGACAGGCATCTATTTCAAATGTCCCAGCTGTCGCTGAAGTACTGGTCCTCCTCTTCCTCCTCTTCCTCCTCCTCGTCCTCTTCCACCTCCTCAGTCCCATTTTGTATTGAGTCGTTCAACTCATTCACTTCCTCTTCTACGTCTTCTCCTTCTTCTCCTTCCTCTTCTTCTCCTTCTTCTTCCTCTTCTTGTTCTTCCTCTTCTCCTTCTTGCATCTGGAGCTGTGCAAGCATGGTTTGTAATGTGGACTTTACTTCCTGAACTTCTTTTTCTAAAGACTGTGCAAAGAGAGTTAAGAAAGAATCTGAGTTTTTGGAAGCATCTGCATTAACATGCAGATGGAAAACATGCCAGCAGACAAATAATATGACACTTGTGGCCCAGACTGTTTAATGATAATGGCTCAGGACAACCATTACCCAGTAAAGCCATCAATCTCCAATTTGGCCACAGAACAGATTCCTGAGACGTATCACCAAGTCATACCTAATTCAACCCTATCTAATTCACTATTCATGAGCTTGCCTCAACTGTGAACCCATGCAAAGCAGACTGCATGGCTAAATTATTCATAACACGTCAATGAAACGGAATAGAGGCCGTTGTCAGTGGGGGGATTGTTTAACCTGCTTAGAAACTCAAATTAATCGTGTGAGTGTCCAGCTTAAGTGGCAAATCAAAGGATGGCTTTGATGGCAGATGGGGCCTGATGGCTCGTTTTGCTGTCTGAACGGACACAGATTGTCCTTATTCATAATTAACCAGCCATTAAAGAGCTCCTCATAAATACTGCAGAAGGTTCAGCAAAACTAGCAGGCCAACATGGACCGACATAAGAAAAGAGAATTCAGGATTTTGTCAGAGACCCTTGAAGGCAACCCTAAAGATTACGATTTTTAATTTTGCCTATCCTTGTCTACATCCTTCAATCCCAGAGGCTGCAGTTTCTGTACACCTCTTGTTATTGAGAGCAGGGACTCAATTAAGACCCTCCGAGTCCTCTGGTTTGATCTCCCTGTCACTATGACAACAGTAGCACCATCGCTAGTACAGTTTCTATTCAATCTCTGCAAACCCGCAATATTATCCTACATCTTCAGAATCCTCAAGGGTCCATGGCTCTATTGCACAAGTGCACAGACTTTGGCAATCAGAAAGAAATGACAGATGAAAACAGAGAGGTGGAGAAGAGCGGACCAGTTGCTCTCTATTTCAAACTGCCTGTCTGACCTGATATCATCTCACAGTGGAGGGGATAGAACCCAAGTGTATAGCGGAGGGATACTGTTTGACCTTATTCTATAGATATAAGATAGCGTAAAACAGTCAGCTTACATTGGAACAAAGGTATGGGATATACTGTATTGGACAACTCTTTAAGAGAATCCAAAAACTAAATAAATGTCTGCAAGAGAGGCAAGTTGTCTTAATCCTCAGCCAAAACATCATCTTTTTTAACCGCTCTTAATAAGCCCGACATGCAGGAGTGGAAAAGTGGATTGAGAAAAACACACTAATCTATTTTCCAATCAGTTTCCCAATTAGCGCAGATAATTATATATTGTGACCTGTAATCAGCTTCAACAGTTTGATTTCAGTCAGTATCATGGATTTTGAAATGTCCTCCACACCAGCTCCAGCAAGTGGAAGTGGGCCGATGGGGATAGAGGTTGGTGGGGGATAGACACCCAGAGGATGGACATTAAGATATGACAGAAGCAGAGTCATTTCAGTGACATTCCCTTATCTGCCAAGGCACTGCCCCCATCGGTCGTCTTTAATCTGAGCCAGTGGTGACTGGCAGAGCACATCAGCAGACGTCTAATAGCCTTGCATAGACCTTTACCATTCTATTTTCCGGTTGGCACCTCCAGTCTGTCAATAAAAATCCTCTGATCCCACCTGTCAATAAAAAGAAACACTTCTATTTCCTCCCTAAAATGGAACCATAATGTTAGATGAGACAATTTACCGGTAAAGGCCAGGGAAAGCTTCCAGCAGTCAGTGTTAAAACAGTTTGGATGCTTACTTTTGAAAGCTGAAACGCTGTAAGGGAAATTAAGCCCCCTCAAACAAGTGGATGGAGACAGACACACATAAAGGAAGCTCCTGCATGGTTTATGTATATTGAAAGTGAATAGAAAGGATATGGGTGAGATGTTGATCCCGGTTTAGAATGGCTGTCTGTAGTTCATCTTCTAGGGCCATTAGTCTATCACTGATCAACTCACAGCGCTCTGTCAGGTCTGTGCCGTCAGCTTCACTGCAAACATCCTGGTTGGAAAAGAGAGGATCAAAAATTAAAACAAACTATGAAAAGGCAATAAATTCTCAAACAATACCAACCCTGCAATTCAGTCAGGGTGTGCAATCAAAATCTCCTGTGTAGCTTTACAGCTATAACTGTACAGCTATTTAGCTGTAACTAACTTTAGCTAATTATATTTCACAATAAACCCAATTTGGATCCCTGTAAAAGACAGTACTGTTAAAGCTTAAACAGAATATCAAAATGGTCTACTACTGGTCTGAAAAGTTGACAAAATCTTAAATTGTAATGCCAATGGATCTGGTTGGAGAAAAATGTCTTCTTATAAAAGACAGCAGTAAAAAATAAACATAAAATCCAAAGCTAATTACCAATGTAAAGCAAGCTATGATAAACTCCATAGTTTGATTAACCTTTTTCCAGTCAATGCAGTTTTTGATTTTCTCAAATACATTTCAAGCATCACTTTCCAGTTCTTTCTTACTTTCTTTCCAGTTTCAGTTAAAGACATTACTACTAAATTATGTTATGTTACTGCAGTGAAAGACATTTTGTCTCTGCCCTGAAGTCGGGTATCAAGGGGATCAATGGGATCAATGGGATTTAATTTCATATTAAGTCATCCTGAGGGTAACAATATAGGAACTCCCTCTACATTGGCCTAATTCTTCTGTCCTGGACGTAACAAATTAAACTTAGCAAATGTAGAGTTTGAGAGACTGTTGGGCACTCCAATATAATCTAAAATTTATATTCAGGGGCCCAGAACACACTGGAAAGCAGTATAGGACAAGTTATCCCTATCACAGGTAAAAATCCAAATTCTGTGAATGCCTTTTGCATAACTAATGTCTTCTTTTCTTGTTTAATAATGGTAGAAGACTAGTCTCTGCTGAAGAAGTGGTTAGTAAACTTTATACAATACACCAGGCTGTGTGTGTTGTTGTCTTTTTAAGGATGGCAGGTGCAGAGTGCAGTAGGGCAGAGCATTCATAGGGCAAAGTAAGCCATAATTAGAGCAGGCCCCTTTGTAGACATTTTGTCCTAGTTTCTTCACACTTATCAAGCATAGAGAACACAGACACACTCAGGAGAGTACACAAGAAGACTTCGAGCAAATAGGCTTTCACTCACACGGACAAAGACCCGGCTTTTTCCTCACACAACACACAGACAGTCTAATCTGATTCATAGCTGCAGGTAGAAAATACCAACTCCCTGCAGCCCTGAGGTGTCAGAACAATCACTGGAAAGTCGTGTCTCTGGTCTCTGCCCAGAATAGCTCCCGCTCTCCAGATGATGTAACACCCAAAAAGAAATGCATACCCTTTTATCACAATACTGTGGACAAAACATTTCTGAGGAAATAACTGAATTAGGAAATGCTTAAATACAGATGACACCACTGTATACAATCTAATATTTTTGGTTGTTACGAACATAGGTCTGTCCTCAGGCTTAATATTTTTTTACGATTCTTGGATATATGTCATGTTGTACCAAGAAAGGAGGTGGTGAACTTAAAGATTCACTGAGCTTTGTTTGTCAAGGTTAGGAGCGCCTTTAGCAAGTAAGAGGTGTGTGTTTGTATAGCTGATTGATTCTTTACTCTCTCGCCTCCAGTTGGCTTTTGTAAAGTCAATACAACCGGAGGATAAAAAAACAAAAGCCAACTGTGTGGAGTGACAAAAGAGAACACATGCCTGGCAGGTAGCAGCTTTGTACACAATCCACTTAAAAATATTCAGGATACAGCTATTTGGCTCCAGGTGATCAAAACAATTAGTGCCTTCTCTGCCCGAGACAACAAAGAAAATATAGGACCCAGGAATTCATCGACTCATCAATCTGCACAACAGAATCTCAGACACACACACACACACTGACGTGGTGATTCCTGCTGCATATTAGCACTAATGTTATTAGTCCAAAAGTAAACAAAGCACACAACACGAGCCTGAAGTTGGGCAAATCATTAAGAAATTGAATATTCATACTCATGTTTGTGCTGGCATGATTATTTAACAATAATGAGAGAGGAAGTAGGTAATTTTGCAGGTTCCCATGGGGGATGTTCTGCCTGATATTACAATGGACAATACAAAGCAATTAGACTGCCTTGGTCTTACACTGAAGCTTTCTAATTGCTTTTGCAAACAATAAAGCTGCTGAATTCATGCTTAATAAGAAATTAACTAGCTTATGATTAACTAGTGTCTCTATTTTCACTGATGCCCTGTTAGAGAATCAATCCTTTGTATAATTTTCCATGTTTTACAAATGTATGCAGTAATAGAATTAAATGTAAGCAGGTTCTATCCCTCTATTTATCTGTCTGTCTGTCTGTCTGTCTGTCTGTCTGTCTGTCTGTCTGTCT